AAATTTAAAAATTTTATTGGACGAAATAAAACATGATTTTAGCATTATTTGTCTAACAGAAACGTGGTGTAAATGCAATAAACAAAGTACACAGTTTGATTTAATTAATTACACGTCAATTCATCAACCACGTGATGGTGGTTATGGTGGCGGAGGCGTTAGTATTTTTGTCCACAATTCAATTGTTTTTTCCCCTCGTAATGACCTATGCGTTAATGAAACAGATTGTGAGTCATTGTGCATTGAACTTTATAATAAAACCACAAAAAATATAATTGTTAATGCTATTTATAGAAAGCCATCTGGTAACTTAAAAAAATTTAAGACTCACTTAAACACATTTTTAACTAAAGTCAATAAAGAACGGAAGCATATTTACATTGTCGGCAATATCAATTTGAACTTGTTAAAACAAGCTTCAAACAAAATTAAGCATTTTATCGATAAACTTCTTCAACATAATGTTATTCCAACAATAAATAAACCAACCAGAATAACTAAGAAATCTTCTACTTTACTTGATAATATAATCACTAACAATTTTTATAACAACTATATTTCCACAGGTATAATCAAAACAGACTTATCAGATCATTTTCCTACTTTTTTTAATAACTAATAATATAACAATTAATAATAATTCTTCTAAATTTATAATATACAGACAGCAGATCAATAAATACTCCTTACAAAAATTTCAACACCTTTTAAAATATAACGTTGATTGGGATCTTATAATGCAATTGGTAGAGGTAAATAATGCCTATGAACTATTTCTTAAATTTTTTTGTGAGCAATATGAAAAAGCTTTTCCGGAGAAAAAAATTGTTATAAATACCAAGTCATATCAAGCTCCATGGATGTCTAAAGGCTTATTAAAATCTTCAAAGAAAAAAAAAAAGTTGTATGAAAAATTCTTAAAAAAAAAAAACGTATAAAAATGAAACAAACCACAAACTTTATAAAAATATATTTGAAAAAACTAAACAACAATCAAAAAAAATTTACTATTCGAAGTTGTTATAAAAAAACGGAAATGCCAAAAGTATGTTGAGCGTAATTAAAGAAATTATTGACAGAAAAAAAAATGGAATAAGTATTCAACCAAAGAAACTCTTAGTAGATGGTAAAATTATATATGACAAGTCAATAGTAGCTGGAAATCTAAACAGCTTCTTTCTTAATATTGGTCCAAACTTAGCTGAAAAAATTCCTTCAGACTCATCATCGTTTGATTCTTATTTAAAAACATATGATAAAGTCATGGACGAATCTAAACTAGATATTAATGAGTTACGATATGCTCTAGATAATCTTAAAAACAACACAAGTGTAGGTTTTGATAATATTAGCATAAATGTTGTTGAATCAGTTTTTCATATTATAGAAACTCCTTTTTATCACATTTTTAATCTTTCTCTTCAATCTGGAACAGTTCCAGAAAAATTAAAAATTGCACGGGTCTTGCCTATTTTTAAGTCTGGCGATGATACAGATTCTTCAAATTATAGACCAATATCAGTTTTACCATACTTTTCTAAGTTACTCAAGCGTATAATGTATAATAGGCTAAACAGCTACTTAACAGTAAATAACATGTTGTACAACAAGCAATTTGGCTTTAAAAAAAATCATTCAACTGATCACGCTTTGACCGAGTTAGTAACTCATGTAACCAATGCCTTTAATGATGACCGTTTTACATTAGGAGTATTTATTGATCTGTCTAAAGCCTTTGACACAGTCAACCATGTCATTCTTTTAAAAAAACTTGAACATTATGGAATAAAAAACAATAATTTACTATGGTTTAAAGATTACTTATCAAACAGACAGCAATACATTCAATATGAAAATGTTAAAACGACAAAAAGTATAATAAAATGTGGAGTTCCTCAAGGCTCAATCTTAAGACCGTTACTGTTTTCTCTTTATATAAATGATCTATCTCTTACCTTGAACATACTAAACTTTATTTTGTTTGCTGATGACTCCAATCTGTTTTATTCTCATAGGGATATTAAAACCCTCTTTAAAGTAGTTAATGAAGAAGTAAACAAAGTAAATGAATGGTTTATTTGTAATAAACTTTCACTTAACGTTAACAAAACTAAATTTATTCTATTTCACAAACCAACCAAAACAGGAAACCTTCCTTTAAAATTACCCAATCTTAAAATCAATAATATAAATATTACTAGGCAAACAACTGTAAACTTTTTAGGTATTATTTTAGACGAAAATTTAACATGGAGGAAACATATAAACACTCTTGAAAGAAAACTTTCAATAAACATTGCAATGATGTATAAAGCAAAACCATTTTTGGATATAAGATCTCTAAAAAGTTTATATTTTTCCTTCATACATAGCTTTCTAACTTACGGCAATATCGTATGGGCAAGCAACAGCTACGCTAAGTTAAAGAAAATTTATACTAAACAAAAACATGCATGTAGAATTGTATTTGGAGTAAAAAGAACTGTGGCTTGTGAGCCACTTTTACGTAAACTAAATGCATTAAATGTGTTTAAAATTAACATATTCCTCGTCATACAGTTCATGTATCAAATAAAACATGGACTGTCTCCAGCGATATTCTATCCTTATTTTAGAGAAGTAAGCCATAAATACCCCACCAAGTTCTCAGAAAATAACTTTGTAACTTAAAAGTATAATCTAAAGTTATGTTCTTATTCAATTCAGTACAGGGGTCCAATTTTGTGGAAAAACTTTCAGCATATTGTTAATATTAAAGAAAAAACACTTCCGCAATTCAAATGTAAATTAAGACGTTATCTAGTACTTACGGATTTTAATATAGCAGATCTTCTATGTCACTTTTTAAATTTTAAAATTTATTAAACTAAATTAGCACCATAAATTTAAAAATCTAGACCATTTAACAGTACTAAGAATTGCAATGTCTTTATCATACTTTCATTGAATATATATATTCTCTTAAAGTTACCTACAATTTTCTTGATATATTTTATAATAATGGAACAGAATTTTTATTTGAATTTTGAATTATTTTGAAAGAAAATAATATATACAAATATATATGTCAAATCACATCCAATTTATAACCAAAAACAGAAAATTTTTGTCATTTTTATTACTATATTTTAATCATTTCTTTTTATTTTTTTTATTTATCTTCAATTATTTTAATACTTTTTTTTTTCTTTTTAACTTTGTTTCTTAACATTTTAAATTGTCTTTTTTTAAATACTTTTGTTTATATATTACAGATTATTGTGTATTACGGATATTTATTTGCGTTACTATTGGGGCTTGGTGATAAGGCTATTTTATGTCTTCTTCTTGCTCCAGCCAATTGTACTTTTTATATTGTTGTACTTTGTAAATATTTTTAACAACGAAATAAACTAATAAACTAAAAAAAAAAAAAAAGTTATATCAACAAGTAGTGATTCTTTTATTGACAATGGGTTTTTTTTAAATTTACAATGAATATTTTTTAAAGCTTGTCATGATTAAAACTACTATTAGCTAATGCCAATTAAAATTATTCAAATGATAAAATAATTTTATTAATATAGAATAGATTCAGAATATTTAACCTCCAGGCACAAAAAGATTTTTATCTCATAAAAAAGATGAGTGTATTTACTTTGTAGTAGTAGTAAGTATATATACACAACATATACATAGTTTTTTAATTAAACCTCTCCAAAATATCTTGAAAATCACTTACCAAACCTAAAATTCCATTTTCACTCTGTAAAACAACATTAACATTGGGTTTTAAGTAATCACTTGCAAGAATAGGAATACCAATTCCAAGATTTGCTATGACATGTAGTTAAGAATGAACTTTTAAAATATAAACTTTCATAAATTAATTGGTTAAACAACATTTTTATAACTGCTAATACTAGTATTTACTAGGTCTGCACAATATTAATATATTTTGCATAGCTTAATTTGAGAAATGCTTATTTTAATGAAAATGAAGATTATTACAGAAAAGAAAGAACTGAAGAAAGCATTTTTATTTTGTTGTAACACCTTTTAACTATCTACTGCCTGTCTTATCTGGAAAAATAAATTTCTTATCTTAAATTTTTCTTATCTTATCTGCCTGTATTAAAGCCCCTGTTTGTCACCAATTTAATACAAGATCATCAGTGACATCACCCATGATCAGGCTGACAAAACATATGGCACATCAGGAAAACAAGTTTTGTTGACAAAAAAAAAAGTTTAAGTTTTAAAGGTAAACATTTTAAATTTTTTTTAAATGTCTGTACATTAAAATTATTTTTTAAGTTTTGTCAAAACAAAATTTCAACCATTTTGTTGAGAAAATGATTACAAACCTTTATTTTTTTCATTCGGGTTTGCATTATTTTTCAATTAAATAGTTTTATTTATTTGGCTTTTAATTCCAGTAAATCATTGACAGTTTATCCAGTGTCATTTACACCGTCAGCAATTAGGCTAGTGACAACAGATTGCAATTTTTTGAATAGAAAAGCCATGACCTTAAATGAACCTGCAATTGAAAACTCATTTTCAACATATAAAGAAACTTTGCAAATATCAGAATTCAATTCAAAACTTGCTTACCAACCTCAACAAAAATAAAAATAAACATCAGAAACATAAACAAACAGAAAATATAAGAAACTATATAGTATACATTATATACAACTACTTGTTAAGCTAAATTATTGAAACAAAAATAAAAATTCATTTCTTAGCTTTAGTTAACTTACACTTATATAATGAATACATGTATAGCCAGTCCTTGGCTATACATGTATTCATTATATAATTAAGGTCGGCATTAGGCATTGCAGACCTAAAAGTATTCAGCAAAAAATTGCAGATTCTAGATATTGATATTTTTTACATAAAAATAAATTTCAAACAATTTTTTGATAAATAAAAAAACAAAAAAAAAACAAAAAAAAAATTATATGAAAAGATACCATACATTCCATCTTTAAGTTCAAGCACAGCGCGCTTGATTATTCGTTCTCGTAATAAGTCTGATTCACACTTTGGTGCATCATCAGACTTACTATGGTGGAGTCTTAGATACTAAGAATATTGAAAAAAATAAGTGAAACTAATTTTGAAATACAAATAATATTTATTAATTCTCATTAACATTGTTCTAGTTTTATTAAATTTAATAAAAGCATTTAAAAAAACCAATTTCTACTTCTTCATAATACTTGGCTTCGTTGCGTTTCCCAATGGATAATAATATATTTTTATTATTAATTTTATCTATAATTTTTATAATTAATATATAATTTAAAATTAATTACTTCGATTCTTTTTTCATAACGTTCTCCTTTGACGACACGATCAACATAAATACTTGGAATATGAATTTCATCGGGAGAAAAGCTTCCGGTATCTACAATCTCTTCTACCTAAAATTTAATTTGAGTATTAGTCAAATATAGTCAAATAGTCAAGCTTGAAGCTTTTTTAATTATAAACAACAAACATTTATTTTGTCGTCTGCATTTTTGTCTCTCCAGACACTGTATACACTAGGGATGGCTCTTTTACTTACTTTTTTTTTACTTATACGAGTAAAACAATCTTTATCAAAAAGTAAATTACATAAGTAATTTTAAACGTTTTATGTAAATTTACATTTCCGTATAAGTAATTAATTTTTTTGAAACGACTTTTACTTTATAATGTAAGTTTTTTTACTTTCAAAAGTAAGTTATGTAAAAAAAGGTTAGATCAAAAAGTAATTTACTTTTACATGTAAAAGTAAGTCACGTGAAAAAGCTGTTTACTTTTACATTTAAAAGTTAATTACTTTTGAAAATTACTTTAGATAATATAAAAGTTACTCAAACTGTAATTTACATTTACCTTTAAAAGTAACTAATTAAAAAAAATTATATTAAAAAGTAACTTACATATAAAAGTAAATTACATAAAAGTAATATGCTAGCAAATGTAAATTAAATTTACAAAAAAAATATTTTTTTTTAAGTAAGAAGCTTCTATATTAAAAGTAATAACAAATCTTTATTAAAAATAAGTTATATAAAATAAAGTTAAAATTACATAAACTTTTATTTTATATAATTTGTAAAGTAAATTAAAAGTAATTTATATAAAGTAAATAAATTTACTTATATTTTACAATAACTTGGACAGGATCTTGTACAAAAGTAATGCAAAAAAGTAAAATTTTAAGGAATAAGGCATAAAACATTTAGTTTTCCCCACCATTCGATTTGCTCGGTTTTAAATATTTCTTTCATGTAAAGTTTGAAAAAATCAATAATAGGGTTCCGCCCATGATTAAAACTCTCTAGTTCCAGTCATGATAGTTTTAGCTATAATAAATATTCTCTGAAGCAAACCGTCTCAACAATGTTCACTCTCTGGCCAACCATTCGAAAGGTCTGGAATTTAAACAAAGCTGAAACAAGGCAGTTAGCAGAAAGCGCATACACTTATCGAAGACTCAGAAAGGGCAGTTTATTTGAAAAGGAAATAATTGGCATAATAGTTACATATATATACATACACACAATTGGCATAATATATACATATATATACATACACACATACATATGTATGTGTGTATGTATACATACATATACACACACACATACACATATATACACACACACATACACATATTCATTTAAACACACATATACATACAACATACATACCCATATTCACAGATAAATACATACACATACACACATATATACATACATATACACGCATACTTATGCACTCACATACATATATACAAATAGACACATGCATACATATGTACAGACATATACACACGCATATACATATATACACATATACATGCACACATATAAAATAATGTTATAATAAGATTTATATCACATGTATCAATACCAAAAGCAATAATAATAATGACCCACAATAATTCCAACATTTTAAAAACAGTAAAATCGCAATCTCTCCAAAAAAAAAGAGCGGGTTTTAAATTGTGTAAGAGTTTAGTGATTTAAGGTGAAGAAGTAATTTATTCCAAGATTATACGCATTGGTTTGTGATTGATTTATGACCGCACTTAACCAAAGAATGATTTGGGATAGATAATTTAAGGTTATTACAAGATCGAAGATAATAACAAGAACATTTTATAGCAGTAAAGAAATTACAAAAAGAAGGAGGGAGGTTTACTTACTTGCTATTGCAAACAAATAGACAATTTAATAAATGAATAAGATCACACAATTTCAGAGTTTTGGATAAAAAGTATAGGATATTAGAATTAGAACGATATTATTGAAAGTATATTATTTTTAATGCCTTGTTTTGCAAATTAGATATTCTTAAATAAGCTTTTGTCTGGCTTTGTCCTCAAACCTGAAAAGCATATCATAAATGTGATCCAAAAATAGCATGGTATGTGTTGAGCAGAGTTTCATGATTGACATAATGTCAAACTTTGGATAGCATCCCATTTGATCTAGATAGTTTCACTGCTAAATCTTTAAGGTGAGAGGAAAAAGATAGATTCGAGTCAATTTTGATTCCAAGATATTTTAAAGAAATTAAAGGAAAATGAAAATGATGATCTCAGTTTTGCTGGTATTAGGACTTGATTTGTTAGATTGCAGCTATTGAAGAAGATTAGATAAATCATAATTTATATGTTTGTTGATTTTTTTTTAATGATTTGTTTGTAAGGATTTTGTTTCATCAGCATAATGGTAAGCAGTTAAAAATTTTAAAGACATATTGAGATCATTTAAAAAATACGGAAAATACCTATGGACCTAATACAGATCCTTGTGATACACCTGTGGAGAAAAATATTGGCAAAGATTTAGCATCATTGATGGCGACAAACTGTGACCTATTAAAAAGATATGATAAAAACTATTGGTGAGCAACACCGTAGTGTTCTAGTTTACTTAGGAGGATTAAGTGATCTTCCTGATAATAGATTTTCTTCAAATTTTGCATACATACTCTTGCTTGATGACAACACAATATTCAAAAATTGGTTTTGTAATAAGTCAATTTAGTTAATTTTAATTAAGTTTATTTTGTATATGGAAAAAAGAATAATAATTTTTAAAATATGTATATTGATTGTTTTTATACTTATAAACGCGTTTAGCATATTTGGATAAGGTGTTGACTTTGTAAATGGAATGTCTGTGGCTTAAAACATACATTGAACTTTTTTGTTTTTTCACATACGCACACAGCTGAATGTTAATAAAATAATACGGTAATATCAGAAAAAATTGATTGCAAAAAATGTGTTTTAATAACATATAAAAGCATTGGGTTTTAAAAACTTGTTTTTAATTTTACTTGTTTTAACTACATTAATGAAATGTGTTATGTGCTAAATAATATCATTAAAATTAGACTATCAAAATTGAAAACATTAAATTATAATAAGTTCTTTTGCATTCTGATAAATAAACTGATTTGGAAATGACACTTAACTTTATATTGATAGTATAATGGTGTATTTATGCTGTACTAAATACGCTGTTGTTCCAAATAACCCATCATCAGTGTGAACAATACAATTCAATTTATAAGATAATTTTTTCTTTGTTCTTCAAGCTTTTACTTTTTTGCTTACAACATTCTGTTTTAAAATAATTTGTGCAAATCAAACCATTGTTGAAGAATTATTTCAAAAAAACTACAACATATTTATAATAAAAAAAAAGAAGGGATACTTAACGCACCTCAGCTATGGTTACTTTAGCTGATTTTGCCATAGTTGCATTGAAGTTACGTGCAGATTTTCTAACAAAAAAGGTTTGTTATAAACTTTCAACAAATTTGTGCATTTAAAACAAAATTATATATATAAAAAAATGAACTTTTTTAAAGTTGTAATTTATAATACAAATTAAATATCAAATTAGTGTTAAATTTATATAAATTATTATTTTTATAAGTAATACAAATTTTAATAGAATATTATTAATTACATAAAATACAATTTTAATATAATTATATTGCACCTGAAAATCAAATTTCCCATTCTATCAGCTTTCCATGCCTTGATAAGTGCAAAGTCTCCAAAGATGGCTTCTTCCATAATATAGTTTCTTCCATTAAAAACACGGTGCTAAAATAATGTAATTCAGAAAGTAATAATGTGCGGATGCATATATTAGACGCTAGATAATTAGTATTGAGTCTCGGTTTACTGTATGTATCAATATCGGTGCAATACCTTACAGTATTGATATTGAGGTCACGCGATTGTTAGGTACTGATACTATCATTTGGTATTACAGCTCGGACCATCACATTTGTATTTTATTTTTATAAATAAAAAATTAAATTTATATAATAACTGAGATATATATTATTGGCTCATTAGAAATTCTCAAGGGTTGTGTGGTATCGTTTGACATCAATATAAATATTCACTTGCCATTATTATCTCCACCACAATGCTATACTGAACTTTCAAAGTAAACAAGCAAATTTTTTATTTTGAAACACAAATATAAATTGAAAAGAAATTCTTTGATGACTGAGGAACTAAAAAAATTATTAAAAACCAGAAGTACAGAAAAAACATAGGAGATGCAATCCCAAATATGTAATCAATTTAGTAATACTTAATAACCTTAATTAGCATATTAAATCAATGTATCTGAACTAGCATCTGGTATTCCTAGAAACAAACTAAGAATTAAGAACATTGAAAAAGCCTAAAACTACTACAGTTGCCTTCCTATAAAACAAACTAAATATTTGTATTTCTTGTTTACAGCATAATAATAATAATAATAAAAATTTCTCTGACTTAACCTTACATACTATTAGAAAACAAGGTATTAATCTATGCATAGAATTTGTTAAAGTTTCTACAGATGGAGGCAGAAGCTTCCTAAATACTGTTGTGAACTTTTTTAAGAAGAAAAAGAACTTGAAAATAAATTTAAGAATAGCAGATTTAAAAAGATCAAACCTTACTCGTTAAAGATACTCCTGAAATAATAATAAAAACCCTTAAATCAGTGCTTCAGAAAAACTTAGTGTTGAAGATTTATATGTATGTCTGTATGTCATAAATGACCAAATAATAAAAAATTTATTATTTGGTCATTTATGACATACAGGTTAAAAAGCCTGCTTGTGTTATAGCAGTGAATGTACAGTGGATATAGAAAACCATAGAACCATTCTTTATCTTGATTCCTACATGATTATTCTTGTGTTGATGCATATATAAAAAATTGATCCATGAGATCTTTCATCGATATTATGAATTAACATTTAATATCTCAACATTAATAAAAAATTACTTTTCCTAAAAAATTTAATTGCACTGCATGAGCTCAATAAATGATCTCATTGAAGCAGTAAATAAAACAACAGGGTTTCATTTATCAGAGTTGAGTAGCTTTGAGTTGTGGTTAAAAAAACACTATGTATTTAAAAAAAGATCCATGGAGTTTGATGAGACAATAATATTGCAAATAAAACTTCAAAACTAATGGATAAACTTCAATTGGAAGACCAAAATAAGGTACCAAAGACTACTTTCTGTAGTCAAAACCCAATGCACATATAAATCTGTAGAAAAAGGCTTTTTTTAGATGTAAAAAAAATTATGTTTAGATTCTTTTCTGCATCTAAAAGATGTCATGGAAACCCATATTATTTTGCCATGTTTTTTCTTTTGCACGCAGGAAAACTCCTGTTGTTGATTTTGAACCTAAAAGATTATAATAACTCATATTATGTAGAAGTTATGTAAGTTATTACTTTGTAAATGTTTTCAAGTTTATTTTATTTTATAATTAAAAGCTATGTAATATGTTATAATACATTAACATTTGGACAAACAAACCCTAAAACTTATAATAAACATAACAAAAGTTAGAATTAATAGCAGTAACAATCCCAAGACATAAATACCCCATCCTCACTTATTGTAGCTGGTTTTTTAAAAAATTTTTGTAGCCTAAAAATAAATTAATATTCATTAATATAATTTTGGAATTCTTAGCAAGTGAAACTAATTTGTACTATGATTAAATTATACTAAACATAACAACAAGTAAAAAAAAAACCCATAAGAAACACCATTAAGTCTAATATCTCTGGTCAAGAGCACAATACATTGCTATGTTGCATGAAAACTAAATTCTACAACATAATAAACCACTATAGTAAACTCAACTGTAGCGGTGAATTCTACTTCAGTAGATGCCTTCAATTGTAAAAAAAAATAAAAAAATAAATTAAATAGCAAGCATATGTATTACCTCTTTAGGAAGACTTGCAATTTTGACGGAACCATCACGATTATATTGTATTGGTATACCACCTCTATGAATTTGTGTTTCATAACCGGTAGCTGTAAAAAAAGCAGGAATACCAGCACCTCCTGCTCTTATTCTTTCTGCTAATGTTCCCTAAATATATTTTATATATATTTTTATTAAAACATACCCAATAATATATATTATTATAAATATAATACATATATATATTAAGCTGTATTGTTGAAAGCTATGTTGTTGAAATGTCAAAGCAGTTAAATTAATGCGGAAGTACATTAAATTTTATTGTTTTTCAAAAATTTTTTAAAAAACCGCAATAATAACGACTAGAAAGTTTTTTTTAATTAGTGGTGTTTTTGTTTTTGTTTTATTAAAAAACATTTTTAAAACATGCGTAAATGTTGCTACATCGACTATCTTATAGCCTGCTGCTACAAGGGAGTGTTTCTACATCAACTATCTTATAGCCTGATTCGCAACGGAGTGCTGCTACATCGATTGACAAATAGCCTGACTCGCAAGGGAGTGCTGCTACATGGACTGACAAGTAGCTTGACTCGCAAGGGAGTGCTGCTACAGCGACTGACAAATAGCCTGACTCGCAAAGGAGTGCTGCTACAACGACTGAGGGTTTGGTTTGGACAGGCAGTCTATCATTTTAAAAAAAAAAAAAAATTTAATTTTTTAAACTTTGTCTGGTCTGGTTTATTAACGCGCTCTTTAAAACTACAGTTTATGGGAAACTCTTTTTGACTACCATGCAAGAGTATATATATATATATATATATATATATATATATATATATATATATATATATATATATAACATAAACTACTAGTTTAGATGAGCATTTTGACGTCACACTGAAGTCGGGGGCTTCAGTACATACATTGACTAACAAATAGCCTGACTCACAGTAAAGTGCTGCTACATCGACTGAGGATTTGGGTTTAGGATGAGGCAGCAATCTTTTCTTTTATTATTCTTCATTTTTTTTCTTTTTCTAAAAACGCGGTATGCTGTAAAGATAAGCAAGAATAGTGAGCAAATGCTCATCTAAACAAGTTATAAAAGATATATATATATATGTATATATATATATATATATATATATATATATATATATATATATATATATATATATATATATATATATAAAATATATATATATATATATATATATATATATATATATATATATATATATATATATATATATAATATATGCATATACACACACACACATATATATATATATATATATATAAATATATATGTATATATATACACACACACACATATATATATATATATATATATATAAATATATTTGTATATATATACACACACACACATATATATATTTATAAATATATATTTATATATATATATACACCTATATTAAAGGGCTTAGATATACAAACATCAAAGGCGTGCGATTGCACTCTATTCCTGATCACTTTTTTTTTTAACTTAACTACAGCTTTTCAAATTTTTGAAAACGCTTAAAAAATGCGCTAAACAAAGTATAAGGAAATAAAACAAGAAACTGCTTTTAAAGATTGTATGCTATAAAAGACATTTATTTAAACTATCGAAAGATATATTGTTAAAAAGTATATTTTTTATAATGAGTGTAAATGTTTTTAAAACAATTTGTACAATTAATTGTATAAATAACAGCGAAAATGATTTTTTTAATACACTTTTGAATCCAGGCTTTTACAGGAAGACGTGCAATTTCACGCCCTTATATGACCACGCAAGTTACATGTTGCTATGACGGTTTGACCATGGCTAATTCAAAAAACATTTTAAAAACGCGCTAAATGAAAAATATTCTAAAAAAGTGAAACTAATTACATCAAAACTTCTTATCAAATGTTTTTATATAAGCGAAAAGATTTTAAATAAAGTAACAATTTACTGAAAAAAAGTTGTTTTTTGACAAACATTTAAATTGTTTAAGTGTTCATTTCTAAAATAAACCTTATTAAAAAAAGTTGTTTATTGAAAAAAAAAAACTTTTGAAAAAAAACTTACTGAAAAAAAGTTGTTTATTGACAAACATTTAAATTGTTTTAGTGTTCATTTCTAAAATAAACCTTATTAAAAAATAAAAACTTGTTTTGTTTTTATAAACGATGACATTCTACAACTACTTAAGTCTCTTTAACGAATTTAATTATAAGAATGATTAAAGTTAATGCATTTAAAAAGATTAACAAAATTTCGTTAAAAAAAAAAGTTTAAGAAAACCCTTACAATTTAATAAGTTTGATCTTAAATACTTTTAAATTATTGAAACGCTTTTAATGAAGTAAAATAAAACACTTCTAATTAATTTAAAAAAAAGTATAAATAAAATGTTTTTTTATTTTATTTATATAACTATGTATTTTTTATGAGAAATGCTTAACTTTTGAACATATTAATTAAATATATTAAAATATATTAAAAATATATTAATTAAATATATTAAAATGTTAAAACAAAGATTGAAATGGTTTTTTAATGCGTAAATCAAATAGACTAAGCATTTTAGTTTGATGAGTTTTGTTTTAGTTGCGTTATATATATATATTTATTTTTTTGTGTTTTTACTTTAACTATGTATTTTTTTTATTTTCTCTTTCGTTAAGATTTATTTATTTTTTTAAATTTTTTTTTCAGATAAGTTTAGGTAAGTTTTTGTAGCGCATTTTTAAATTTTAAAAATATGCTGTGGTCAAATCGTTAAAACATTATTTTTTTTGCGTGGTCATATAAAGACGTGAAATTGCACGTCTTCCTGTGAAAGTCTGGAATCTATAAATTTATTAGTCGTAAACACAACAAAGTTTTTTTTTTTTGTTTTCTCTTGTAAACTTTCTCTCAAAACACTTAAACGCTTTTAAATAAAGTTTTAAAATGCTATTAAATAAATTATCATAGAATATTAAATAAAACTTTTATTTATTTTAAAAGTATTTTTTTTTTAATGATTTTTTTTTTTTTAAACAATTTGTATTCTTAATTTTATAAATATCGACGACAATGAATGCATTCCAATAAACTTCTTTTAAAATAATTGATAATTTAAATAAACAAACTTTATTTAGTCTTTATTTAAACTTTTATTTATTAAGTCTTTTATTAAACAATAACTAGAATAACATTTTTATTTAAAAGAGTTTGTCTAATATTATAAAAACATTAGAAAAGATCGAAGTTTTATAGTTTCTCGTGTTGGTTTGAAAAAGTTTTTAACTGAAATTTTTTGTATTAGGAGAAATAAAAAAAGAAAATTTTTTTAATGAATTTTTTTTCCAAAACAAATTGCATTCTTAATTTTATAAACAACGACAATGAATGCGTTTCAATAAACTTTTTAAAAAAATTACAATTTTTTTTTAAATTATCTTTTTTTTTTTAAGTTTATTGAAACGCATTGATAATTTAAATAAAGTTAGTTTTTTAGTAAACGATAATTAGGTGTAAATATTTTTTTATATAAAAGAATGTCTAATAAATGTTCAAAGTTCAAGTTTTCAAAAAAAAAAAAAAAAAAACTACTTGCGTGGTCATGATTGGAGTGCAATCGCACTCCTTTTCTGTCTACGACTACTTAACATGATATTAATTCAAAGTTTTAAAAAAGAAATGTCAAAACAACTTTTATTATATTTTTACCTTCTTTCATTTCAATTTCTTCAAGTTTATACATTTTTTATTTGTAAATAAATTTAGCAAACTAAATTGAGAAAAACTCATTATTTAGTACCAATCGATAACAATTTACAATCGTTAGGTCATTGCATATTAATTATCATTAATTTGAGCGCACTTTGCAAATGCTTTAAAAATTGTTTAAAAAAATAAAAATTCAATAATCATTTTTGATATATCTAATAACATAATAACTAGAATGAAAACTATTTGAAAAAAAAACTTCCTTATATGACATATATCTTAAATTAGACATTTGTCATTAAATAAAGATACGAATGTTACCTTTCATTAAAAAAATGATTTGTCTCGCTCTAGCATTTAACAAGTATAAAACTGATATATATATATATATATATATCACAGGAAAGTGTGTGATATATATATCACAGGAAGGCTACAATCACACGTCTTTATATGACCAGGCAAACTACATTTTGCTATGACAATTTGACCGCGACTAATTCAAAAAACATTTTTAAAACGCGCTAAATGAAAAATATTCTGAAAAAGTGAAATTAATTACATCAAAACTTCATAACAAATGTTTTTATATTAGCGAAACGTTTTTAAATAAAGTAACAATTTACTGATAATGGTGTTTTTAAAAATATATAATTGACAGTTCTATATATATTTTTTTAATTTATAATATATAAATTGTTTAAGTGTGCATTTCTATAACAAATGTTATTAAAAAATAAAAACTGTTTTGTTTTTATAGACAATGACATTCTACAACTATGAAAGTCTCTTTAACAAATTTTAATAAGAATAATTAAAGTTAATACATTTAAAAAGATAAACAAAGTTTTGTTGAAAAGCAGTTACAATTAAATAAGTTTGATCTTAAACGTTTTTATATTATCGAAACGCTTTTCAATGAAGTAACAAAACACTTCTAATTAATTTTTAAATTAAGTATTAATAAGCTGTTGTTTTTTTACTTTATATAACTATGTATTTTTTATGAAAAATGTTTATCTTTTGAAATAATTAAATAAATGAAAAAAAAGTACAGATGTTAAAACAAAGATTGAAATGGTTTTTTAATGCGTGAATTAAATAGACTAAGCATTTTAGTTTGATGAGTTTTGTTTTAGTTGGGTTATATATTTACTTTTTTTTTGTTTTTGTTTTAACTAAGTATTTTTTTTATTTACTCTTTCGTTAAGATTTTTTTACTTTTTACAATTTTTTTTTAGGTAAGTTTTTGTAGCACATTTTTAAATTTTGAAAATATGTCAAAAGCCGTGGTCAAATCGTTAAAACATATTTTTTGCGTGGTCATATAAAGACGTGCGATCGCACGTCTTCCTGTGAAAGCCTCTTTCTCTCTCTCTCTCTCTCTCTCTCTCTCTCTCTCTCTCTCTCTCTCTCTCTCTCTCTCTCTCTCTCTCTCTCTCTCTCTATATATATATATATATATATATATATATATATATATATATATATATATATATATATATATATATATATATATATATATATATATATATATATATATATATATATATATATATATACATATATATATATATATATTATCTATAATATATTATAATTTTTTTTATATTTTTTTATGTACTCAACCATTATCTTTACAAAATTAGTGTGTACAAAATTGAAACCTAAACTTATAATTTTGTAAACAAACAATTACCTGAGGCACAAGTTCAACTTCAAGTTCACCAGAAAGGTAATACTTCTTTGAAAACTCTTTGTTACTAGCCACATAAGAAGATATTATTCTTTTAACCTAATTAATTTAAAGGTTTTCAAAAACGATAAAATACTTTTTATTTAAAGTTTATAAATCAAATTAAATAAAAAGAAAGATAAAAATAACAAAAAATAGACAACAATAAATCAACAATTAAAAAAACTAGAAAACACACAACCACAAAAAAAACTTTCTAAAAATAATAACACCTACTTGATGCTGTCGAAGCAGTAAGCCAACCCCAAAATCATCCACACTTTAAAATCAAATCAAATTTACTTTTAAATGTGTGTGTGTGTATATATATATAAATATAAATATAAATATATATATATATATATATATATATATATATATATATATATATATATATATATATATATATATATATATATATATATATATATATATATATATATATATATATATATATATATATATACAACTATAAATGCATGTTTAGATAACATGTTTAACATCACACTGAAATAGCCTACTGCCAGGGGTTTCAGTACATACATCAACTAACTTAACGCCTGTTGCCGCAAAGTGCCACTACGTTGACTGAGGGTTTTGGATGGGGCAGCAATCTTTTCTTTTTATTATTCTTTGTTTTTTTCTTCATTTCAGAAATAGCTATATATTATAAAGATAAGCAAAACTAGGAAGCAATTACTGATCTATATATGCTATAGTAGGTAAACATGCATTCATATATGAATATATATTAAGTTATTACAGAAAGTGTGTGTGATCGCTCTCCTTGTTTGGCCTCATAAAATAATATTTTAATCAACTTGACCATGGCTGTTTGCATGTTTCAACAATTGCAGTGTTTTAAAAATGTCATGAAAGAACTAAGCTTAATTAAACCAAAAAGAAAACAAAAAAATATATATACACTAAGATTTTTAAAAAAACTTTTTTTTTTTCCTTCAATATCTTCACTTTCAACAAGGCTGCAAGCAGCCACTATTAGAGTTACTAGAAGAAAAAAGATGAAGATTGTAGAGCAAGATAACGATTGACAGATTGTAGAACTGAAAGATTGTAGAGCAAGATAACAATTGATTTAAAATATTGCAAATTATATAAATCAGGAAAACAAGATGAAGGAAGCCAATTCCAAAGAACTGATATTTGAGGAAAAACTGGACAATTAAGAATTTTTAGAGCACTTAAGAACAGTCACAGTAAAAGGATGAGACTTAATAAAATGACAAGTAACACAAGAATGAATTTTAGTAGGTGGCGCAAGAGACGCTAGCTCTTTAGAGCAGTGCCCATCATAGTATTTATAAAAAAGAGAAAGAGAAGCAACATTTCGACGTTGTGATAATAGTTGGAGGTTGATTACAAGAGCAGGTCCAACTATGTTTACAATGCATTTTTGCACCTTATCTAAAAGAGAAAATAACATTAATCGAAAAAGAGAAGAAAAAAACAACTTAAAACTAAAAAAAAAATAATTTTAAAGCTTTAAAAATGCTTTAACTTGTTTACATTATTGCTTTTAAATTAAGTAACAAATCACTAATAAGTAACAAATTGCTAATGAAGTTTTATATAAGAATAAATAAAAAGTAGATATTTTTTATACATATAATTGTGTATTTGTTATGGTAAATGCTAATCTTTCAAAAAAAAAAATCTATTAATTTATTTAAAAAAAAACAGCATTAAAAAAAACAATTGCTCTTTAAATGAATTTTTATATAAAAATTCAAAGTTTGTTAATTCAAACTAGGGCTGTTATCGAATATATAATTATTTAAATAATCAAATAATTTTTTTTATTCCAAATTGTTTAAATAATTTTTTGGTTATTTGAATAAATCAAATGATAATAAATTTTGTGCACTAAATAGTTTTTTTTAAAAAAAGTCTAAATTTCTTTTTGTCTTTCTTTTCATTTAAGTTCAAACACTTTGTTTACATTTTATTCTCGCTTGTTCAGCCAACAAAGCAAATTTGATGCTTCTTTAACTTAGTGGTGGCAACATATTTTTTCATAAATATAAAAAACATAATAAATTGACTTATAATTTTGTTTAAAAAACATAATAAATTTAAATAAGATTCTGAAAATGAAAAATCAGTGGATCCAACCAACTGAAAAACGTTCTGAAGTTTGGAAACATGTTTTGATTCATTCAAATGGTTCAATTGTCAAGTGCAAATATTGCATTTTAAACAGCAGCCACTAGCTCAATGATTTATTATCTTGAAAAAGTTGAAAATATTAAAATTATAAAACTATTGGAGTTAAAGAAATAAAAATCAGAAAAATAGTCAGATTTCAATTACTGCTGTTGTCTTAGAAACAAGACTGATTCACCTAATGTTGTTCTTGCCGAACTTGTTGCAGAAGATCTGATAATAACTTTTAAGTATTGATATTAAAAATGGCTGGGCAGCACAAAACATAATAATTCCAAGTAATATACATGCAATGTAAAGTATGCTTTTGAAATATTGCAAAAAAGTAAAGTCTGATTTAGTTGATGACTTTGAAAAGTTGAAAAAAACAGACACTCTTTTTTCATTATCTTTAGATGACATCAAAGAAAAATCATAGATATATGTATAAAAATTTGCATTTTTTAAAACGAACAGGTTCAACCTCTCAGCTTGTTAGGTTCTATGACAGCAGAAAAAGCATTTAAAATGATTATAAAAAAGCTTAAAGAATTTAGTATAAACATCCCTTAAAGAATAACTATAAACATCCCTGATATTATAAAAAAAAGTCATGTTGGGTCTCAAAAGAAGCGAAATTATATAAAAATTTCAAAAATAATAATCATTTTATTAAAAAATTATTATTTTGAAGAACAAATTTGCAGAAAAAAGACCTTTTATAACTAAAAATGAAAATAGTACATTTTTTGGATAATAATTTCCTAATATCTTAAATAATAATTTTTTTTATAAAATGATTGTTATTTTTGAAATTATTATATAATTTCACTTCTTTTGAGACCCAATATGACATACTTTTAAAAAACTTTTTTTTTAAGTATTAGGGACCCGGTAAATGTTCAAGGGTCTTGTGCTCATTTGTGTATATAATATATATATATATATATATATATATATATATATATATATATATATATATATATATATATATATATATATATATATATATATATGTATATATGTACATGTATTTATATATATAAATACATGTATATATATACATATATACATATATATGTATATATATACATATATATACATGTATATATATGTATGTATACATATATGTATATATATATATATATATATATATATATATATATATATATATATATATATATATACATATGCATATACACACAGATATTTATATTTATATATATATCAAGCCTTCCCAGGAAAGGTGTGCGGTTTTTTTTTCGTATATATATATATATATATATATATATATATATATATATATATATATATATATATATATATATATATATATATATATTTCGTATATATATATATATATTTCGTATATATATATATATATATATATATATATATATATATATATATATATATATATATATATATATATATATATATATATTTCGTATATATATATATATATATATATATATATATATATATATATATATATATATATATATATATATATATATATATATATATATATATATATATATATATATATATATATATATATATATATGTATATATGTACATGTATTTATATATATAAATACATGTATATATATACATATATACATATATATGTATATATATACATATATATACATGTATATATATGTATGTATACATATATGTATATATATATATATATATATATATATATATATATATATATATATATATTACATATGCATATACACACAGATATTTATATTTATATATATATCAAGCCTTCCCAGGAAAGGTGTGCGGTTTTTTTTTTCATACGACCACACAAACGTTTTTCAAGTTAGAGAACGTGATCACGGTCGTTTGCGCAAGTTATATATGCGTTACTGAAAAATTGTTTTAAATTTAATAACTACATAAGAAATTAAAGTAAATTTAAATAGAAAACAATAATAATAGTTTAAATAATTTGTGTGTCGTTTTTATTTTTGTTTTTTCTTAGTGGTTATTATTATCGGCAACAAATTTCATTAAGTCAAAGCAAGCAAAACAAAAAAAAAAAAAAAAAAAAAAAAAAAAAAACAGTTTTAGGCGTTAAAAAGTATGACTTTTCCCATATTTTATGTGTTTTTTCGTTTAAAGAGAAAAGAGAAAATATGTATCGTCATCTGTTTGTAAAATATATTTGTATAAGTATAATGTATCAATCAACTTGATCAAGAGTTAAATTATACGATTGCGTTTGCAAACTCTGGAAAAATATTAGGTCTTTAAAATTTTAGTTAATGCAAAGCTGTGTACTTAGTTTACAAGGAGCAAATTATTAAAAGTTTGCTAGCGATAAAGTTACAAAAAACAAAACAAAAACAATAAACTTACGACTACAAAAGTAATAACACTTTAGTCACTAACTGCATTATAAAAGTAATAAAACTATAATAGTGTTATTTAATTTATAAAGCACATATTACTTTTAAAGTTCATTCTTTGTTCAAACAACATTATTAATTCAAAACATTTATTAAAGTAGTAAAGCATCTAGAAAAAATAAAGCGGATATTCAAATATTATTAAGAAAATTTTAGGAACTTTCACATATCGCTTAAACAACGTTACTTTATAAAAAGTATAGCATTATGAAAAACGTAACATAAAAACGCACGTTAATTTTAAAATCAACCAATAAAATATTTTTATTGGTTAATTTTAAAATTAACGCGCGTTTTTACGGTCCATTAGAAACGTTTTTCATAATGCTAAACTTTTAATATGATACATTTTCATAAAGTTGTTTGTAACATTTTTATAAGTTACTTTAGTTTTAATATTATTTGAACATCCACTTTATTCTTCTAGATATTTTTCTACTTCAATTAAAATTTGGGAATACTAATGTTGCATGAACAAAGAATGAATTTTAAAAGTTATAAGTGCGTTATAAAAGTATCAACGCTATTATAGTGTTACTACTTTTGTAATGCAGTTAGTGACTAGAGTGTTGTTACTTTTGTAATCGTAAGTTTATTGTTTTATTTTTACAGGCAAAAAACCGCACACCTTTCCTGGGAAGGCTTGATATATACATATATATATATATATATATATATATATATATATATATATATATATATATATATTATATATATATATATATATATATATATATATATATATATATATATATATATATATGTGTGTGTGTGTGTGTGTATATATATACGAATTATAATATAAACGAATTATAATATATATATGAACTATAAATGGGTGTTTAGATAACATCTCTGACATCACAAGAGTGCTGCTACATTGTCTGAGGGTTTGGCATGGGGAAGAAATCTTTTCTTTCATTATCTTTTTTTTCATTCAAAAACGCTGTATAAATTAATGTAACCAAAAATACGGTAACAATTATTATCTAAACTTTTTTATTTCTCTTTATTTTTAGATATTGATTAGAATAACTCTCGAATAAAAAAGAAAAAGTTTGAGCTCCAGATTGAAATTTTTTTGTTTATAAAATGCTATTGTTGTTTATTTATTTTAAAATAGTGAATTAAAAAATCAATAACACCTAGTAGCCATTGATTTTTTTACCATGTTTGAGATTACATTTTAACTATACAAATGGCTAAAAACTACAGCAATTGTTTTGTTTTTCATGAGGCAGAATTTTAGTATTAATAATGTAAATATAAATATTACATAATAATACATAGTTATAAAAGAATTAGTAAAAAAAAAAATTTCTATTTTTTTTTTAAACACAGATATGCAGTGCAGAGACTTTTTTCCTTATAACCCTTCGTGTGAAATACCATGTAATATCTCTATAGCATTAATGACAATATGGTTAAGTTTGCAAAGCTGTTTATATAAGAAAAGCATTATTGTTGTAACTAAGATCAAAAAGTCATTTAAAAAATATAACAATAACTGCATAATAAACTGCAATACTTTTTTAAAGGCACAGTTATTCCAAAAAAAAAATTAAAATTAAAAAAGAGCGCTAATTTCAATTTTATTTTTTTTTCGTTTTTAATCAGATTGGACAAATGTTTTTAATTAGATTGGACTAACTGAATGGTTTCTTAAACAAAAAAATTGTTTCTTATAAAAAAATTCATTATAAAAAAATAAATTGATAATATTCTGTCATGAATCTTTTTCTCAGTCAATCTATGTCTTCCTATTAAAACTATTATTAAAAATTTAGTTTATAACAATAAACATTTCTAAAAATACATTCTTTTCAAATGTTTTTATTTTACTTAGCACACTCATATATTATATATGTTATATATTATAAAATGTATATAAATAAAATTATTACGCACTAAATTATTGCATTTTTATATTATGTGATAACTTATATATTTTACTTATTAATCATAATGAATCAATTTGAGCATAATAAAAAAATATAATACACAACTAAATGTTTTGCTAAAAAAAAATTGTAATTATATAAACACTTGTTGTGGAATCTGTAATTGTTGTAATAATTTATAAACTTCCTGCTTTCAATCACAGTAAAAAAAAAAAAAAAAAAAAATTTATTAGCAGAAAAAATTTGACTGTTCACAGATTTTATGAAAAAAATACAATCTTGAAAATTTCAGCTTGACTGACTAAACTGTTCAAAAGTTATAGTCAAATCAATATTGAAAAAAATTGGAAAAACTTGAATATCTTACAGTACAGCTAACAGTAGATTTTTTTGATTTTTACAGACCGTAACTTTTTAAATGAAATAGTAGATTACCTGAAATATATCATTTATATCGTGATCTTCAAGGTAGTATATTAAGTAAACTACTGATATTTTTGATTGTTGCAATAGATTGTTTATATATTATTTATTGTTTTTGGCATCTAAAAGGATGTCCAAATGATTATAGTTTTTTTCTACTTTTGCTCTTTTTCAAATAGTATTTTGTGGGTCCAATGCTGATGCTACTAGGTTTGTTAAACTTGTATTCATTTTTCACACCCTAATTTGTCACATTTATCAACATTTTTGAATGGAGATATTTTCCAATAAAGATACAGTCTTAAAACTTTAGATTTAGATTTTAAAACCAATTTAAAACTCTTAATACATTTTACACTCAAATTATAATCACATGCAAATTATATTAAATGCATAAAATTGAATACAAAATCAAAATCAATAAAATAGAATAGATATCAAAATCATATCAAACTGAATTAAGACACTGATTATATCATTTAAGGAAAAACTGATTATATTCGTTCAGGGAAAAGTTAATTTTTAAAAAAAAGTTTATATTTTTCAAAAAAAGTGATATTTTAACAAGATACTGCAAGTGCAACTAATATTTAATGCTTAATTTTGCTTTTTACCACAGGTTGTTACCCTAAGTATAAAAAAGTATCAAAAAATTTGCACTGCCTATCTGTAGGTATTGAACTGTAGCACATTAAAGTTTCCAAAATTTTTTATAATATTAGGATTTATAGCAACTATGGAGTACCATAACTAAAAAACTGTTTAAAATCAGTCAAAAACACCTGCAAAAATATTTTAATATTGATTCAATCATAACTTTTGAACAGTTTAGTCAATCAAGCTGAAATTTTGAAAATGTGATAAAATAATGAAATCAACTATGTTCAAAAAAATGATAATAAGTAGATGAAATAGATATGAAAATATTTACCCAGCTTCATTGCTCACAATTACTAGGTCTTTTACTTTAGTCTTTAAAAGCCCAGCAATTAAATTTTCAGGAATTCCACATAACCCAAACCCTATTTGGATAATGTAAAATAAATATTTATTACAAATTATTAAACTGCTCTTTGCATAAACATAGTTACAGAAACACCCAGATAACAAACCTCCAAGGAGAAGTTTTGAACTGTCTCGTATATCTGCAACTGCTTCGACAGATGATTTGTATACTTTAGTGTAGTTTTTATTGCTGGTAGAAAAGGCCTGTATAAAAACAAAAAATTACTTTAGGTGGTGTTAATATGCTTAAATATGCAATAAGCTTACCTGCTCAAGTGTAAAAGTCTTTTGCTAATCAAGCAACTAAAGTAACAAAATAGCTATGGTAAAAAAAACTTTGAAGATCTAACTTTCTGACTAACTTTAATCTAAATAAAATAATCTAAGTACTGACATGTTGTATATGTATATAAAACTTGTTTGCAAAGAAGAGTTATTGTAATAACAAAAATAGTTAAAAAAAATTTTTATAATAAACAGAAAATCAAAAAAATTATAGCTTAAAAAATACTTATAATATATTGTTTGCTTTCCAGCAAACATTGTTTTTTTTGTCCACTTACTACTTCTCATCATAACTATTCAAACTCACTAGCTCTCCCTATTCTTAGAAGTTAGGTCATAGAGACTTAGGGTCATATAGACTTTGGGTCATAGAGACTTTGAAGAAATCTTTAACAGTGTTATTAACAAAGACAAGTCTAATATTTTATCTGTCATAAATTGGTCTGATCTTATCTCTTCAAGAAACAATGAAAAACTTAATAACAAAGATCTTTTCTTTTAACTCATTTCTTAAATCTGATTACTTTTAATATGGTCCCGACAACATTGCTGTCGAGTTGTTCCATATAAGATGAGCCAATTTTTTGAAAATTTTCTGGGTGACCATCTCAGATTTTCTTGAAATTTACATCACACATAGGTTTTATGGAAAAAAGGATTTCCTTAAAATTTCAACTCGTTATCTTGAAGCATTCTAAAATTATGGCAATTTAAAACATTGTCTTAGCCTATTTTGTGCAATTTTTTGTCTTTTTCAAAAGTCTCATTTTTAAATCCATATAAATAAAAAACCCAATTATCTTAAATACTTAAAAATCAATCTGATGGCAGTAATCTACCTTAACTTTTGAAAAAAAAATATAATTTTTTATCAAAAATAATTATTTTTGGCCATCTTGGACTTCAAAGTTATAAAAAAAAAAAAAAACAAATTGAAGAAAAAATTTCAATATTAATAAAGCAAATAAAAGCGGAACACACAAGCCATTGTGAAAATTATGTTATTTTGTGAGAATATAGGTGGTATTTATTATTCATGATAAGTTTTGTAACATTAGGTTTAAAATTATAGAAGTTAGACCCCTCTAAAAAAGCCTCAAGCTTTAAAATGGTAAAACTAGGTCCATTTTAGAACTAAAAATTACCCAGGTGTACAGTAAATTTAACACTTGAAAACTTTAGAAATTTATCTTCAATATAAAAAGAAGAAATGCAGAAAAAATAATTTTGGGTTGTCTTGTAACTGCTGAGATATCTGAACTTAAACTTTCTATCATAATAGGATTCTGGAATTCAAAATTGGCCATTTTGAATTTGTTATATAATCAATATCTTTAAAACCGATGAACATTTTAATGTAAAAAGTTGTTTAATTCTTTTATAAACTAGGATTTTAAAAATAACGTAAAAATTTTTTTTTTAAGTGGGGTTAAAAAAAAAATTATTTTATTTTATAATGATGCAATCTTTATTTTAAGTTATTGAATATTTATGTTACAAATACATTTTATTAATATGATAAATGAAATAACATACATTTTTATATTTAGATTAAATAATAATAAGTATCTTAAGTTAAAATGAGTAACAAAAAATATCGGAGTTTTACTAAACCTTGATTGCCATAAAACTTTGTTTACTCAAATGGTTGGCGAAAAAGTTATTAAAAGCTTCACAGAAGAAAAAAAATGCTTGCATGGAGATGTGATGTAACTTAGAATGACTGTAGTTCTATATGTTTTTATCATGAAAAGATGTTCCTTGCACGTTATGAAGCTACACAAAGGTATTGTTGTGACCCATATAAAGTTATAAAACTAAAGGATTTAGTAAGTAATAGTTAAAAATCTTACAAAAACTTTTAAATTTAAAAATTACTTTGTTATTTTTTTGTCATTGCTTTAGTGACTAAAAAAAATTGATGAAAAAAAATTGTGTTTAACAAGTTTTATATTTATAGGTTTTATATTTTTGATAAAAATTGTAATAATTGTATAGATTGGTTTTCTTTTTTTTTTTTTTAGAATCTCTTTGGTCAATCAATGAAGAAACCGCTTTAAGAATGAAGTTATGCGCAGGTCAAAGACTTTGTAGAACTTGTCGTAAGAAGGATGAAACTATTGAAAACAATAGAATCAATGATGAAACCAATACATCATATATACCAACAGGTTCTGAAATTGCAAACAAAACATTCAGGATGCTGAGTTGTTCTCCGTTAAAATCAGTGTCTGTTGGAACCAGACCTAGTTATGGAAAAAAAAAGTTAAAAGAGGTTTCAAATTCTTGTCAAACATTAATTTCAAATTATTTGGGAATTTCCAATAATGAAATTGCTATTAGTTGCTCAATAAACAATGAATATTCAAAAAAAATCGACAGACCAAGATTTATTTTTTGAAGCCATTAAGCAAAAAATTGCTGAATCGAACAGAAATAAAAAAATAAACCTATTAACATTAACACCAAATAGTTGGACAATCGAACAAACAATAGAATACTTTTCTGTAAAAGTCAATGGTTAAAAAAGCGCATAAACTTAAGGCATCTAAAGGTATTTTAGGAGAGTGTAAAAAAATTACTAGAAATAAGATATCACAACCACTTAAATCAAATATCAAGACTTTTTATCAGTGTGATGAATAGTCTTGGATTTGTCCGGGTAAGAAAGAATTTTTTTTCAGTTAAAATCTATGATTAAAAACAACATATCCAAAAGCGATTATTACTTGTAAATCTAAAAGAGCTACATTTAGAATTTCTTAAAACAGGAGAGAAAATAGGATTTTCAAAATTTTGTCAGCTTCGCCCAAAATGGTGTGTAACAGTAGATAAGTACATATGGTGTGCATTCAGTTTGTGTCTGTCAAGTACACCAAAATTCAAAGTTAATTACTTATGCAGTGCCCAGTAACATTGAATATAAAGAACTTTTATCAAAAACAGCATGTGACATCGCAGCTGTATGCTTCATAGTTGTGATAACTGCCCTAATGTAGAAAACTTAAAACAATATATAAGTGATATCTTTAATCAACATGGTTTTGAATATGAGGATATTCTGATACTGCGGTACAAACAGTGGTTAAAAAAGGAGACCGTTATTAGTTTGGTAACTTTAGAACTTCCATTAGAGGAGTTTCTTGAAGAAATTGTTTCTACAATTGAAAACTTGCGATCACACCATTTTATTTCAAAGGCACAATCTTTATTCCTTTGAATTCTGAAAAAAATCTACAACAAAACCAAATTATTATTTTGCTTGATTTTGCAGAAAATTATAATTTTATAGCACAAAATGCAGTCTATAGATTTTATTGGAATAATAGCCAAGCAACACTACATCCATTCGTTATATATTACAAAGATTTCGAAAATAAACTCAAACCAATGAACTTTTGCTTATTATCTGACTGTATACAACATGATGCTAATGCTGTTAATGCATTTTTATCTAGAATTTTAGAAGATATAAAAATTGTCTTGCCAAATTTGACCTTATGTTATTACTTTAGTGATGGAGCAGCTAGCCAATACAAAAACTATAAAACTCTTAGCAATCTATGTCATTATTTTCAAGACCATGGAATACATGCAGTGGCATTTTTTGCTACAAACCATGGTAAAAGTACATGTGATGACATTGGTGGGACCGTAAAACGACTTGTAGCCTGCAAAATAACCAAATATTATCTGTCACTGAAATGTTTAAATGGTGTACTGAAAATATAACAGGAATTAACTTCATTAGTATTTCTGAAACTAATATAACAGAGCATATAGAAAATGATAAGCTCACTCTAATACTAAAAGATTTCCAGGAATGCACTCTCTTTTATACCATGTAATGATGGGAAGCTAGAAATGAAGCGTATATCAGGTGATACATGTTTTACAACAGTTAATACAACTAAAAATGAAAAAGGCTGAACTTCGTACTGCATTGGTGATTTACATGCTGGAATAAATCTAGAATGTGTCTATTATAACGAATGGTCCATTGGAATTGTACAAGAAATTGCAGATGATTCAGATATTTATATAAAATTTATGCAACAAAATGGAATAAACTTTAAATGGCCCAGACGAGAAAACCAATGTTGGGTTCCTGTTGTAAATATTTTAGCAAAAGTAAATACTTTGATGGCACAATATCAATCAGCAAGAAGCTATCAAATTTCTGACTAAGATTTGAAGAAATATCTTCAAATTTTGAACTGTTTAACAAAAATATTTAGGTTATTATTTTGAGAACAAGATTTATTTTTTATTATTTTATTTTTTACATTCTTTTATTGTAATTGAGATTTATTTTTTTTGAGTTTCAAATTTATTCATATATTGGAAAAATATAAGCCTTTATGTATGGATATCTTTTAAAATTTATTTTTAAATTCCTTGTTTAAAAATAAATAAACAAATTTTTACATTAAAATGTTCATTGAATTAAAGATATTGACTATATGACAATTTCAAAATGGCAGATTTTGAATTCCAGAATCCTATAATGATAGAAAGTTTAAGTTCAGATATCTCAGCAGGTAAAAGACAACCCAAAATTACTTTTTCTGTATTTCTTCTTATATTGAAGACAAATTCCTAAAAGTTTCAAGTGTTATATACTGTACACCTGGGTAATTTTCAGTTCTAAAATGGACCTAATTTTACCATTTTAAAGCTTGAGGTTTTTTTAGGGGGGTATAACTTCTATAATTTTGAATCTAGTGTTACAAAACTTATCATGAATAACAAATACCACCTATATTTTCACAAAATGACATAATTTTCACAATGGCTTGTATGTTCTGCTTTTATTTGCTTTATTAATATTGAAATTTTTTCTTCAACTTGTTTTTTTATTTTATAACTTTGAAGTCCGAGATGGCCAAAAATAATTATTTTTGTTAAAAAAAATATATATATTTTCAAAAGTTAAGGTAGATTACTGCCATCAGATTGATTTTTAAGTATTTAAGATAATTGGGTTTTTTATTTATATGGATTTGAAAATGAGACTTTTTTGAAAAAGATAATAAATTGCAAAGACAATGTTTCAAATTGCCATAATTTTAGAATGCTTCAAGATAAAGAGTTGAAACTTAAAGAAAACCTTTTTTTCCATAAAACCATGGCTCATCTTATATAGAATGGCCCTGTCACTGTCTTATAGTATGTCCACTGTCCTACTATTCCACTGTCTTATATAAAGTGTGGTTCTTTCTTTATTGTGGTCACCATTTTCTTCATTTACTCCTGATTTCTTTCTCTATTTTTTTTTTAATCTCAAATTTGTCCTTGTATGGAGCATTGTTATCATTTTTAGACTGGTTCTTCTGACGCCCTTTTTTTTTTAAACAAGGTCCGAAAATGGATTGTAATAGTTGGACTTGCCCTAGCTTGATCCCCTCCCTATTGTCGCATCTCTTTTTCTCAACAAATACTACCATGGTTGCTGCTCAAGCAAGCTATCATCTCTCATTCTATCAACCTAAATACAACCTTACTGCAGACCAGCAAATTGTGTCATCATAAAGCTGGTCTGCATGCTTTGTTTCTTTTCCTATATGCTCAAACTTGAAGCTTTTAGTTTTCTAGTTTTTTTTCTTACACATCAATGCTTCAAAAATCTCTCCAATATTCAAAATTTTGTGACATTGACAATTGACAGTTTAAGTCTTTTCTTAACTGTTTTCTTGCTCTTTAATGGTATTCTTTGTTAAATAGAACTTTGCAACTTAAATAGTGATTGCTTGTAGCCTTGTCAAGACATTACTTAAAAAAAAAAAATTGTTTTATGCTCACTGAAGTTAATCCATAAAACAGCTGTTTTTTTTTTTGTTGAATTTTAATTATTTGATGCAGATATCTATTTATAAATATTCTTAAAACTTAAGTGTATATTTATCGAATTAACGGTGATTATAAAATGGTTTCTGAGAGCATTACCACAATGTTTTGTCTAAATTAACCCTAGTTTCACCCAATGAAAAACAAGTGTTAATGTCACTTTAATGTTTAGAGTTTCTAAAAACTTTATTGAAGTTAAATCTTTAAAAGCTATGACCAAGTTGGTGCTTTTTATGACAAATTGGTTTTTTAAATTTTGTTTATTAGAATATAAGAAAATTATTTAAACAGTAAATGCTTAAAGCCTTTATTTATAAAGCACAGATATAATATAAGCTAGGTATCAAACAGATATAAACTTTGTGTTTTTAATTTGAAAACTTACAAATAGGATATAGAAGTCAGGAAATGAGAACAAATAAATTGTTTACACAATATAAAAATCAATCGACTGTCATTAAAAACCTATTGAATTTTATATTTATGTATTTCAGCATGAAATACATAAGTATAAAAACGAGTTAGAGTTATATAAAATCTTGCTTATGTGTTGTGAGGTAGTGGAGCACTCCTTTTCAGGATGGCCACTCAAATTTAAAAATGAAATTCCATGACTTTTCCATGACTTGTTCATAAACTTTTATGATAAATCACTAGAGTAAAACATTCAGTACTTGTCATGCTTAGTGCATTTGCAACTTGGTCATTATAAAACATGCAAACCAAAAACTATTTGGTAGGAAGTACTCTTTTTCTTTTTCTTCTCTGATAAACTGCAAAAATATCTTTTTCAAAAAGGACTTAGACTAGACATACTAGTACTGAAATATCACAAGTAGAAAAAAATAAAGATAATTTTAAAAAGTTCCATAAATTTTCCATGACTTTCACAGAAAATTTAGGAATTCCATGACTTTTTTCATGATCAAACAAAATTCCATGATATTTCCATGAACAGTGGCCACCCTGCCTTTGTAAGCGGAGACTCATTTGTCAGGGTTCATATTCAGGGTAAAATATTGAGGGTTATTAATATTCAGGGTTAAACATTTAAAAAAATACTTTTTCTTTAATGTAATTTTCCATGGTTTTGCCTCAATTTCACAACAAGTTTTAAGGTCATTTCAATTTTTAAAAAATGTAGGTTTCTAAAAAAAAGGTTACAAAGTCTATATATTAGGCATAAAATATAAAATGTATACATAAATATAACCATAACATAAATTTAAAAAAAATCTGTTTTCTCTTTTAGCAAATTAAAATGATTACAATGTATTTACTTTAATATATTTCACAAGCTTTTTATTTTTTTGTTTTTATGTCTGCTTTAATCTCAACCATACAGCATGTTTATATATATACCTTAGTATATGTTCAATCAATCCTCACGCTGAGAATTGTAAGTAGCTCACCTCGCTATATTTAGTTAAACCCTTCAAAGTAAAGTTAATCAATAAAATGTGATTAAAGCTATAGTAAAGTAAAAACAATATTTATAACTCTAACGCTGGCTATATTGACTATATTATCAGACAAGTTTAGTACCGAAACCATTAAAATCTTACCAAATGTTGAGGTTTTATGACCCAAGGTTGAAATGTCGACGAAAGATATTGAGTTAATTTTAAAGCTCTACCATTAAAACACCTTGCTTTAGTTATTGAAGTCATTGTGTGTCGAACGATTTAAAATTTTTAAAAAGTTCTATTGCGCACGAGATTTTGTTGATAAACAAAACTTTGCGCGAATGTTCCAAGGGCTGGAAATAAATTTATAAAGAATTTCTATTTATCCGGGGGTTAAACATTTTTAGTATTATTTGATAAGAGTTACTTATAAGATTAGGAAAAAGTATATACTTATAAGTTCTATTTTAAGAAATTACTTTTTTTTTAATGTTTAAACTCCGATTTCAAATCTCTTATACAAAATAATTACAAATTTTATTTTAAAATGCTACAAATTTATTTTAATTTCTATTTTTAATCACGTTTAAAAACAGTACGGATAAAACGTGAGTGTGGACACGTACAATTACTTCTACTTTTTTTAAAAACCTTTCTAAACAACACTATAAAATATTCATGGGCTATGGCGCCACCTAATTGTGTTTATGTTTTAGAAATGCCATAGATGCTTGTTTTTGACTTTTAATAACAATTTTTAATTTTGATTGTGTGTCTGTGTGTTTATGATTAGATTTTAAACAGTATTTTTCTATAAAATGTATAATTTACAAAATCATATAATAAGAAATAATTGCGGAGACTCAATAAAGACAACAAAGTCTTGCCGTCGAAAACCGCCGTTTTTCTTTTCGCTAGCTTTCGTTAATTTTATGTTTATTGAAATTGTTTATTTCTTTAATAAATTGTTCATAATGTTTGTTTAGAAAACTTATTTAATTGTTTAACTTTTAGTTGAATAAGTTTGACTTACCTCCTGATAAGATTAGTACAGAATAATTGATCGAGAGTTTAATGACGTCAAAACTTATGTCATCACTGCTTGATGGCAGGAGTTTTCAGATTCTTAAAAATGTTTATATCATTTTTGAATAATTCTTTCAACTTTAATTTTTCTTTAAAAAGTATTGTTCTTCCAGACCGTTTTATTCATATTTTTATTCCTTTTTTTTTTTTTTTATCACATTTTAAAATAGCATCCCGTTTTTATAAAATATAAAATTCACAAGATAAAAAGTTATTATATAATAAAAACTACATGTGGTAAAAGATAAACAAGATAATATTTACAAATAAATAAGAAATTTACAACATAATTTAGTTTCTATAAAACTTAAAGATAATAAATAATTAAAAATCAGAATTAACAAAATATATATGATTATGTTATACAATGCAAATAAACGAAATATTATTGCTCTTAATAAAATGTATAAAATAATTTAAATTATTAATTTTATTATTTGCCGCATATTTACTGTGAGGTAGTAATTACTAATAGTAGTGCATAATAAGCACATTGAAATTGTTCAAATTTAATTATTAAAGATTAATATAATATATAAAGTAGCATTGTTAACCTTAAGATATCGAAGACTTTTATTTTGAAAGGATATTGACAAACGGAAATTTGTTTTCCTACCGAATGTTAAATAGCATTTAAAATTATAGAATCACTTTTTACAAATAATACTTCCGAAACTTAGACTTTTGTAACTTGCATTTTCAAATTCTCTTGCGAAAGAAGCGCTTTCAGACACTTAAGAAACGAGTGTTTTTGCTAGCTACGTTTTGAAATCTATAAAAAAAGTTAGTTCGCCAAACGGCTTGAATTATATAAGCGAAACATCTGTATATACCATATAGTTTTTAATGAAACTTTCACTATCTCAACATATAAATTTTTTTTAAAGAAATTAAAAATAAAATAATATTTCAAAACGAAGACTAAAAACAGTCATTTGCGGAGCAGCCACTTATGAAACAGTCATTTGCGGAGTAGCCACTTATGAAACAGTCATTTGCGGAGCAGCCACTTATGAAACAGTCATTTGCGGTGCAGCCACTTATGAAACAGTCATTTGCGGAGTAGCCACTTATGAAACAGTCATTTGCGGAGCAGCCACTTATGAAACAGTCATTTGCGGTGCAGCCACTTATGAAACAGTCATTTGCGGTGCAGCCACTTATGAAACAGTCATTTGCGGAGCAGCCACTTATGAAACAACACTTTGGAAACACGTTATATATTCAATATTATCTTTCGAAACACGTTTTATATTACAAGTTTTTATAAAATACAAATATATTTACGTTTAAATAAAATACAAATATATTGAATTTAAAAAGGTAATTATCCAAAAGGTAAAAGGTAAATAATTCAACATGTAAAATATCAAATCTATGACGTGTTAGTGGCTGCACCGCTTATTATTGCTTTAAGTCTTCGTTCGAAATAAATCTTTTTTTTTTTGTAACTTTAATTTTTTTTTTTTTTTAATTTTAAATGTTGCGGTAGTAAAGGTTTTATTACAAACTTTTTAGAGATGTTTCGATTTTACAATTTTAGCCTTTTGACTAGCAAAAAGAGACATTTTGCAAACTTTTTTCATCATTTGTTTAATATTAAACTTTTATCTCTCTTTGTCTCTAATATTTCTAAATTTATCTTTTTTTTCTCTACCGCATTTTAATTAGACCATAAATCGTGTTTTCTTTGAGCGTTCTTTATTTCTTTTATTATCATTATTATTTTTATTTTTTTTTGGAGGGAGTTGGAGGGGTAGGAGGGTTCTTTTTTTACTTAGTTTAGACAATTAAAATGTTTTTAAATTTCTAAAACATTTTAAAATTGTTGTGCTTTTTTAAAGATTTTTTATAAAATGTCACCAAATGAGTTATATCAAAGAGTTAAACAAAAGTAATGATTTTTTTTTTGTTTTGTAAAAAAGTTTGTTGTTATTTTTTCCAATATTTTAGTTTCTTGTTATTTTGAATTCAATATTTGATAAAAAACAATAATTTTTAATTTAATTTTTTTTTTTTTCATCCTCAGTATGTCCAATGAATACTTTATTACTCATTGCTCATTGCTTAGTTTTAAACCTTTGATTAGATTTGCTCAACAGCTTGCCTAATGTTAACTTGTGTTAACTTATGTTAACTAATGTTAACTTATGTTAACTAATGTTAACTAATGTTAACTTATGTTAGCTGATGTTAACTTATGTTAACTAATGTTAACTTATGTTAACTAATGCTGAACTGCTTAAATAATCTGTTTAATTAATGCTTACAACAAAGTTATAAATAAAATATTATTACGACAATTGTATTATGATATTTGCTGTTGAAGTAATTTATGATAAAATTTTATTACCTAAACTGTAAGTTTAAATATTTATAAAACAATATTATATCAAACAAACATTTTTTTTTTTGCAAAAATAAAAACAACCAAAAAAACAAAATCTAGCTCTAATTTATTTTAAAAGAGTTTTTAATACAACATTATTTTGCATAAAGAGTTGCATAGTTTCTTAACTGTTCTACAGAGAGGTCGTTTGAACAATATTCTTTACAGAGGTCGTTTGAACATTCTTTACAGAAGAAATTTTAATATTAGTCTCCATAAAATCGATTTTTTAGTTTTTTCAGAATATTTGTCTTTATACATTTTTAATCTGTGTAGCTATAAAATTACATCATATTGATATCCCAACAGTCCGATTTTATTTTTTTGTTCCACACAAATTTATAAAAACTTCTTATCGTTTTTAAACAGCTTCCTTAATTTACTTTATGGGCTTTATACGTTAAAAATAAAATAAAACTGTTAAAAAACTCCGATAAAATATAAAGGATTAAAGTCTTGATTTACATATAGATTAAAATAAGAAAAGTAAATAGAAAGATCTATATTGGCTTATGTTTCTTCGGTTTCTATAAAACAACAACGTTGTTCAATTGCTCAATTGAAATTGAAGTGTAATGTTCCTTAGAAATTGGAAATAATCGATCAAGGCTTTTTTTATCCTCGGATATTTTAATCTGTTACATTTTTTAATACGTTAACAAATCATTAATTGTACGTTTTTAAATAGGTTAATTAATATTTAATTGTAAATGTTAATTCTTCAAGTTTTTATTTAAATGAAATGTAGTTACATTGATGAAAAAAGAATTAAGAAAAATTTTTGAAACTATTTTGTTCCTTAAAAATTATAATCAAATGGAACTATTTTACAGGGCCGACGACACGGGTTACAAAGTGGAAGGGCACAATTTTTAAAAAAAGTCCTCTGTATCTATATATATATATATATATATATAAATATATATATATATATATATATATATATATATATATATATATATATATATATATATATATATATATATATATATATATATATATATATATATATATATATACATATATATATATATATATATATATATATATATATATAATAATAATAATAATAATAATAATAATAATAATAATAATAATAATAATAATAATAGCAATAATAACAATAATAATAATAGCAATAATAATAATAATATACAATACTGTTGAGATTTAACGTCATGTTAAATTTTTTACATACAAAATAAGAAAGTTAAACTCGATTAAGTTTAGTTAAGCTTTAAATAAGATTTTCAACTTCCACTGTTTCAATTGGTAATTTGTTGCAAAATTTGACTGTATAATTTGTAAAAAAACTCACAATTTCGATTTAAATATTTTTTATCGGTGAATAAATGATGTTTGCTACCTCAAATATTTGACGACGGATCTGAAAAATTTAAAGAGCACGAATGTTGAAGGGGTATTTTCCCAGATATTTTCTCTATACCATAATACCATTTGTACATTTGTATGATATCCCCTCGTATTCTTCGTTGTTTTAAAGATGTCAATTTCACTTTTTCTATTCTTTCATTGTATGATAGAGCACGAAGTACAGATAGGATACAAATTTCGTTAATCGCTGACAGGTACAGATTTCGTTACTCGTTTTTGAATATTTTCTAATATATTTATATCTTTTTCAAGATAAAGACTTCATACATATATTACAATTTCTAAATGCGGGCGTATATAACTACAATACAGCAATTTTATTAGTTTTTGCAATATATAATGCAATTTTGAGTTGTGGTGTCCATTTTAAGTCCTTTAAAACTAATACGTCTAAATCTTTTTCCAACTTAGTTGTAATTAATTCTTGCTTTATACTATTGTTAGTCATGAAATATTTATAATTTTTATTTTTGTTACTAAT